TGTCCCCAAAGGCCTGCAATTCCATCATGTGGATGTCTCATAACAGTTTGTGGGCCCAGAGCTGCAGACCCAGCTTCGGCCCAGAAGGAGGTGGGAAAGAGATCTCAGCAACGGCTCCCCAGCGCTGCTTCCTGGCTTATACTTTTCATACACGTGTTTACCTAATCACATGGCCATTTGCACATGTGCACTATGTGCACAGACATGAATTCCCATCCATGCGCTCACATTTGCATACTTGCACAAGCACAAGCATTCTTACCCGAGCACGCACACCCTTACGTGCTTGCACAGACACAGTGGCACATGTCTATTCTCCCATTAGAAAGCATTTGCACACGCTGGTTTCCAACACCAGGGATGGGGCATGCCTGAACTGAACTCTACAGGTAGAAGTCCTTGGAATTCCATAGGCGCTCTCTGCCCACAGAGTCTTCAACACCCTCAAAAGCAGTTGGAACATGGGTTCCACATAGGAACCTAGCGTTCAGCTCAAGCCCCTGAAGCCCACCTCCTCGGGTCCTTCAAAGCTGAAGAATGTCGCCTACTCACCCCTCTGACCCCTTTGACTCCTCAACTGTGCTCTTCCGCTGACTTCACCTGTGTTAGATTCTCCGGACCTCAGGGCCTTTGCTCTTACTATGTTGGTCACATGATCTCTTCTCTCTCCCCCTCTCTCTCCTCCCTCTCCTCCCTCTCCCTCTCCTCCCCCTCCCTCCTCTCCCTCTCCCTCTCTCGACAGGAACTCACTATGTAGAACAGGCTGCCCTTGAATTTAGAGATCCATCTGCCTTTACCTCCTGAGTGCTAAAGGCATATGCCACGACCTGGCTTTTCCCAGTCTTTTATATACACCACCCATGCCTGCCTTGTTCCCCCATCATGAGCCCCTGTCTCCGGAACTGTCCTAGGTATCGTTTATTACTCTTGTTTCTCGTCTCCTTGTGTGCTCATAATCTTCCATTGAGCACAAAAGATGCTCATTGTGAGACGAGTTGGTGGGGAGGGGGTGGTCTGAGGAGCAACACAAGAAACCCCTCCTGCTGGACCCTTCCCAGCCTTAGCTAAACAGCTTGGGTACTTGGGTGGCGTGGCCATGCCAACACCAGGTACTACTGTATGTAGTTCCTTAACGACTCTAGGGGCTCAGGTATGTGGGTGGCCAGGAGCAGTGGGCTAAGGTGCTTGAGTGGACAGGAAAAAACCACACCACTGTGTTTGCACCATGTACCCTCTACAGGTGATACAGATAGGTGTGCCCTAGCACACCTCTCCTTTAACTAGGTTGCATATCTGGTTCCGGCTGTTTGGAAAGTGAGTAAACTTCACACCCCCAACAGCGCTTGAATTCCCACACAGATCTTTTCTCTCACAGACAGCATCCTAAAAACCCGTACTAGGCCCTTCTGTGCTACCTGGGTCCCAGCAGAACAGTACTTATGGGAAGCGGTCATGGGCGGGTCAAAAGGAGAGGCCCCACTCCCCAGCGTCGCACAGAGGTACGGCCCCATCAGCAACCTTGTGTAGCAGAATGTCAAGGATCAGAGTGTGGCCAACTGAATGTCTAACTAGGATCTTATACCCTCTGGCTTCCCCAGTCCAGCCCAATGTCCACCCCACCGCCCCATGTGCCAGCTCTCCAGGGCCACTCACGGCTCAGACTCCACAGTTTCCTTCTCTGCCAGGTAATTGTGGGGCACGTAGCCCTCAGCCAGGGCTTTGCCTGCTGCGTCTAGTAGGGTGGCCCACCACCACTGGTCCTCCTTCCTGGTAACATGCAGGAGGTCTCCCGCCTGAAAGCTCAGTTCGTCGTCTGTTCGTGCCTTGAAGTCCCAGAGGCCCGTGTATTTAGGGCCCAGGTGGGTCTTGTCCCAAGACATCATGGCAGGCCCAATGGCACAGCCAGCTGTGAGCTGCTTGTGGACACTTGCTCCTGGGAGAAGTAGGCAGGGCTTTTCCCAGCAAGCTAGCTAGTCACACCCACTTCCTTATGACAGGAGAGCAGCCACACCCAGCACCCATTGGAGATGGACTACCCTGTCTCCACCCCAAAGGCCCTTTTGCCCCCTGTACGTTCTTTTGTCCTCGGGATCAAGCCACGATGAGTCAGTGGAAGTCTGCCATCTAAACGACCCCTTGACGAGACCCAGTCGCGGTTACAGGGAATAGCCCACTAGGTGGTGAGCATACAAGTATCAGCTGAACCCTCCGCCCCTGGGGTGTGAGCCTTGGAGCCAAAAGATGGGGAGGGGAGTGGGTGGAGGGAAATTTCTAGGATGGTGGCAGGTTGCTAGAGTTAACAGAGTAGAGAGCAAAGTGTTGCCTCTTCTACGAGAAAAAAAAAAAACCCTCCTACACTGGCTGGTGCATCCCGCCAATGGAGGCTTCCCTCCTGCACACACTATGAATGGAGTTATGAAGGACTTGACAGTCCTGACAGACACCACCTCCCTGGGGAGGTGTCCACCCACCAGACACTGACAGGACTAGATCTAGGGATGGCATCAAGAGAATCAGGCAGGGCCTGTGTTGGAGACAAGGGCGGGAGGGGCCTGGGTGAGACCCGTGGAACTGAGAGTTTTGAACTCCTGCTACAAAGCTCTAGTTCCTTGAAGGGAGGACACTCAGATGCCCCTCTATCCTGAGGAAGCCACTTAGGACAGCATGCTAGACCACAGCCTGACATCTGGGGAGACAACGGGAGCCAAGGGATATGAAGGCACGAACGTCGGTGTGGGTTATGGGCTGGCTTAGAGGGCTTCCTGGTGTCTTCCAACATCGTCTGTAGTCCCTAGACCTCAGCCCAAGAAGCAGGCACTGTCCTGTCTTCCCAGACAAGGACACAAGAGGGCAGCCACAAAAGGTAATGACTAGGAAGTGTCCACACCACCAGGGCCTCTGCAACCCAACCTCCCTCTTTCCCAGGCTTCCCTTCTGCTCTGTGACAACCCCGCCCCCCCCTCCAGTCCCTTAGCCCTCACTTCCATGCTATCAACCCAATTCCTAACAGCCATACTTTGAACTATTCCAGTCTTCCTGCCTGCGGGGGGGGGGGGCTCCCTCTGCCCTTAAACCTTGAAAACTCCAGATTCCCTCTCTCTCCAGAGTGGCCCTAACCACCTTTCTCACTCAGCTGATGCATTATGGGGTGCTCCTACATAGGGATCTGGAAAACAGCCGCATAGAGGGGCGGGTGGGGAGGGAAACGGACACGAGTCTGTAAGGATGAGTGACCTGGGAAATAACAATGTACGAGAGACTATGAGACTGCTATTTGAGTTTGGGGGGGGGTGGGGGCGGGTAAGGGCGTGGGCCTGCTGCTTCATGCTAAGGATCAAATCCCGGCTCACACGCATGTGATAGACATATGTTCTACCAGTGAGAACTGCGCCCAGGCCTTGAATTTTCTTTCACTGAAGAGATAAGTGCGCTACTCACCTGCTACCACCTATGAGGATTAAGAACAGCAACACGCTGTTATTAGTAGCTCCACGCCTACCCGGCCCAACCTCAGTTCCCAACGAGGTGTGGGGAAGGGGTGTTATAGGGAGAGGAAAGAAAGGTGGGCGGCACTGGGAGAGGTCAGCCTCAAGAACGCCGCGGTTGCTTTCCCTGTCTGCTCCAGAGCCCCGGGCCTTGAATCCAAGCTGTTATCCCAGACAGCCACATGTCCCTAGATGAGACTTGTGGGCAGCTCTGTGGAAGGTATCAGGTAGCTCGAAAGTCCCTGGCCTCTCCCAGGAGGGCCAGACCTGTTCATCTTTGGCTGACTAAACACACAGGAATGTGCCAGGACCCAGCCAAACCTGTTTCCATGGCTTGGCCGCAAGCCCGGCACCATCTTTCTCCCCGGGCTGTGCCATCCTATCTCTAGTGTCCTCCTAGTTTGAGTCATGGCAACCTCTTCACATCAGAATGCTATCATCTTATGCCATGCAAGCCCTTGGGCTCACACCGCTGCTCTGTGTGCTGCTGGCAAAGCAGGGAGCCCACAGCAGCCAACTGTCAGCTTCAGATTCCTCCCCATCAAGGGGTCAGGAGCTGCAGGCTGAGGCAGAGGCAGGGCGGTGCCTCCTCAGTTCCATCCCACTGCCCCTTCCTCCTACAAAGACCAGTGTCAGCACACTCTGTCGGGCTGGCCTCCACAGCTCCTAGGAGCACTCTGTTCTGAACCTGTGGGTCCCATAGTGACTGAGCCTCGCCGCCTCTGTCTATGGTGCAACTCATGCCCTCAGTTCCCCTCATCCAGCCCTGCTTCCCCATGAGAAAGCCCATGACTGGCTAAGGACCCAAACTCCTTGTTACCTGCTGGGTTACTTCACATGGGATCCCGTTCCCACCTCCCTCTTAGCCAACCCTCAGATGTGGTTGGTGATCATGAACAAATTGGCCTCTGTGAGTGCAGAGCTGGCCCCAGATTCCATCCCTTTTAGGGGAACTGCTGGCCTTTCTGCCTTATACACCTTCTAGATAGAGCTACAAAGAGAGTGAAATGGCCTGTGGATCCCTGAGCACAGCCCCCACCCCCAACCCCCAATATACTGCTCCTAGTGCCCTAAAGTGTTGAATGATTCAGGGTCCAACTTCTCAAGGCATCACACACAAACACAAAAGTGACCCAGGGAGGGCTTTGCCCCAGATGGTAGGTTGTCTGGTTGTCGGTATCCTACCTATATCTGCCTAATCCTGCCGACCAGGAAACTCTGCCTCCTAATCGCTGCCCTTCCAAAGAAACAGTCTTGAAACGCCACACTTTGGCATCTGGAAAAGGCCTGGGGGTGCAGACTACCAACCAACCAGTCTGCCCTTTCTGAAGCTGAAGAGCCTTCTGGCTTCAACCCTTGTCCAGGGAGCTGGAAATGGCTGTTCACTTGGCCCCGGCAGTCTCCACTGTTGATGTCACGGGGGTCCACATTGTAATGTAACTCTGGTTCTGGGGGGGGGTGTGGTTCAACTCTTCCTTTAAGAGCCTCCAACACTTCATTCTGGGAACTGGTGGGTGAATCTATTGGAGCATGTTTATTGAAGCTGACTCTGTGTGCCTAGGGTTTGGCAGTACCTGTGGGGGCAGTGGGTGAGGGCAGGGGATGCTGCTGCCCCCTGCGAGTACACAGCCTGTACTGGGGAGACATGCTTGGGAGCCCTAGCACTGGTGAGACGAGAGAAATCAGGCTTCTCATCCTTGATCCTAGGAGGGAGCTGAGGGAGCCCAGGGTGTGGGGAGGGCAGGGAGGAAATTGCTGCCTCTGCTGGTACTCCTTTGCCCAGCATGTCCTCACATCTCCTCTTCTATCCTTTATCAACACTTTGGAGACACCAGGGGTTCAAACTACGCCGAGAGGAGCACATCAGCTTTCATTTCTAAGTAAGTGCTCATGACCTGACCAGGCCCAGTTCGCACGTGTCCGTCAGTCCATCTGCTGTGCACATGCTGGTACCAGCCTATGTCGGTGAAGGAGACCCAGTGTTGGATTCCCTGAGGCTAGTCGCCATTCCCAGTTGTGCGGCATCTCCCATGTGTGTGGGTGACAAGTGTTTCCATGGGAGACGCCCTCCAGGAAGCAGTTTACTGTAACTGCTGCACGTGGGGCTGGAGACTTGGTCACGTGAGGCTCGGATGGAGCCGCCTGTGTATGGCATTCATCTTCTCCCTCAGTGTGGCGAAGGTGGGACGTTCCTCGGGGCTGCCCTTCCAGCACTCCACCATAAGCATGTAGACCTCTGCTGGGCAGGCAGCCGGGCGTGGCAGCCGGTACCCACGACTGATCTGCTGCAGTGTCTCATGATTGGTCATTCCTGGTAAGGGGCCAGCAAGAAGAGGGGCCAGACAGCAGTTACTTTGATTCTGCCTGGGGGGGTCACCAAAGAGATTCCCCCAACCCTATCCTCTGCATGACCAGTCTGTGCTGGTACTCCAGCCCACTGATCTTTGGGGGTCAGTGACTCCCAGGGCAGGGTGTGTCTCCTCCCTTAGGGTAGTCTGGACCCCAGACTACCTCCCGCAGGCAGGCTAAACTTTCTCTGGTGAATCACGGTTTCCTCTCAGATGGCTCACCTTCATAGGGACACTGGCCGTAAGTGAAGACCTCATACAGCAGGATGCCGAAGGACCAGACGTCTGACTTTTGGGAGAAGATGCGGTAATTAGCTGCCTCGGGAGCCGTCCACTTGACAGGGATCTTGGAGCCACTGCTTGGGGAGTAGACATCATCCTGGGGATGGGGGGGGTAACGGTGGGGAATTCAGAGTAGTGCCTTCCCCTCTGCGGGAGTTAGGAGCCTAGAGCCCCCACTGACCTTGAGCAGCCTGGCCAGGCCGAAATCAGCCACCTTGCAGGCGAGGTCATCTCCCACCAGCACGTTCCTGGCCGCCAAGTCCCGGTGAACAACACGGCGTTCTTCCAGGTAGCTCATGCCCTCGGCTACTTGGCAGGCAAACCCCAGTAGATGAGGTAGGCTCAGAGCCTTTCCCTCGGGGCCTGCACAGAGAGAGGAGAGAGAGAGTCTGGGTGGTAGTACTCCCGAGGGCACAGGATGGTGGCTGGCAAGACAAGTACTTGTGAAGCATGCTTCCTCTGTGCTTTGGTTCCCCCTTCCCTGAGGAAGGGAGAGCAGCAGCACCTACTAAGGCCTAGTAGGCAATGAATAAAGTAAAAAATAAAAGATTAATAAAAAAAGGAAGTCCTGCAATCACCACAGGCCTCAGGCCGAGCTGTTTCTTGGCACCTGCCTGGGCCCCCAAGGGGAATAGTACCCAACCTGGACTCCAAGGCAACAGATCAGAGGTTAGGAACACAAAGGGAGCCTCTCCTGCCTGTACTGCAGTCCCAGCCTTCAGAACCACCAGGCTTTGACTCTCTTTAGCCAGTCTAGGCTGGGCCCAGTCCCTTGGCCTTTGCTGATCAGAGGCCCAGTAGGACCAGGTGTCTGCAACCTGGGCTACATGCGTCCCTTCCAAAGGACCAGGGACTCTTCTTTTTAGACCCAGGGCATGAATGTTATGAGGGTTAGTAGATGTGGCTGCTACAGGGTAATGTCAGGGAGTGTACTCACTGCCCAAGTGGGGGGTACTTACTGCCCAGGTAGACCTGCAAGTTGCCCTTGCCCATGAGTTCAGTAACGATGTACACAGGTTCACCCACGGAGCATATGGCGTGCAGCCGGATCAGCCGCTCGTGCCTCAAGCTCTTCAGTGCCTCAATCTCCTTGGTGAGGTCTGCCAGTTTCATGTCAGCTGTGGAAAGGGCGCTGCTCCAGGACTCTGTATGGCTACCACTGCCCCAGGCTCCAGGGTCAGAGGGCAGTACTGCCCAAACCTGGATGCAAGGCCTCACCTGATTTGATAACCTTCACCGCCACAGGTATAGAGCCCAGCCACAGGCCTTCCCACACCTCCCCGAAGAAGCCTTCACCCAGCTTTCTCCGAAGAACAAATTCTGAGCGTGGCCGTTCCCATTCGTCCTGAGCCAGGGGCATCTGTGGGAAGGGACACTCAGTGTGCTGTCTGAGACTCACCTAGCAGAGTGGGCAGGAGGGCTGAGCTACTATTTGAACCTAGCCTTCCTGTGAGTCTCAGGAAGAGCTCCAGCATCAGGCCTCAGGCCTCTCCCTGCCCAGCACATCCTTTCTCCAGACCCAGGCAGAGACAAAGGGGAGACCAGAGCTGACCTCCAGGAGGGCCAAGCCAAGAGCTATGAAGCTAATTGCTTCAGGGACTTATGCGGCCCCTTTACCAGAGCCGGACATCCGTCTGCAAACACTCATTACAACCCCTGGCTAGGCTGTCATTACAGAACCAGAGGAACCAGATTGCTGCCCTAGACCCAGTAATACCAGGTACTGGGGGAAACAATATCTCCTCTCTCAGCTTCTGCCCTCGGGACCTGGAGCAGCTCTGGGCACCTTCCCACACTAGCCTGGACTCCTCCTGTTGCCCCACAGAATTGGGTGCATCCTGTAGCCCTCCAGGGTTCCTGGTCTTTCAACAGCCTCAGAGGAGATAAAACTGGTGAAGGGGACCAACTCCATCAGAACATGGGATATTCCTGGCTAGATACAGGCCTGAAGCTTGCCAAGGGACTCTAAGTCAGGGTTCTCTATGGCCCCCAGATATGAGGAATGTCTCAGATCGTCCACCTGGGGTCTACAGGGCTGTAACAGAGGGTTCTGGATCAGCTTCCAGTTGGTCTTGTAGTAATCCAGCAATGCATCCAGGCTAGGGAAGAGTCGGCCCTCCTGCAGATAGAGGCTGCCATTGGGTGCCATGCAGATGCGGTAGTGGCAGACTTTGGCCTGGGCCCGGACTGGAAACAGAGATGGAAAACAGTACCTTGGCTGCACCTGCCTCAGGCACCCATACCCCCAGCATCTCAAGTGGTTTTGCTCAGATTTGCCATAGGGTCTCTGAGTTGGACAATACTCTGTACAAGAGGGGGGCATGGGCAGCTATAGGCCACAGGACAGCCAGGGGACCCCGGGGACAAAGAGTGTTAAAGAAATACTAAGTCCACTAGGTGGTGAGTGGAGGAAGTTGGGAGAAAGAGGGAGAGGAAGAGCGGAAGGGAAGGAGGGAGGAAACAAGGAAGGAAGGAAGGAAGGAAGGAAGAAGAGAGGGAGGAAGGGAGGGAGGAAGGGAGGGAGGGAGGGAGGGAGGGAGGGAGGGAGGGAAGAGAGCTTGATGACTAGCATGTTTGCATGATGGGCAGCTACCAGTATAGGGATCAACCCCTCCAAGGACAAGGGGGTCAGGCCTGGTAGAGCTTAGCAAGACAGCCCACCCGGGATTTGAAGTCTTGAGGTGTTGTCTGGGTACCTGACAGAGAATATCCCCCGATGCTGCTTTCACTGGGCCGGATGAGGAAGGCCCCTGGCGCGTTGGCAGGAGACAAGAGCAACTGCTGGGCCTGAGTCCTGCTGATCCCGCTGAAATACCAACTGCAAATCCAGGACACAATAGTCATCTTTCGAGCCCAGTCATGTGACCCTGGCAAGGTGTGAGGCCTCAACTGTCCTGCCATCTCTCAGGGAGAAAATATGTCCAGTGCCTGAAGCTGGGGGTCCCAGCCTACCACCATCAGGGTGACTGGTATCTCCTTCATGTGGGCGTGACTGTCCACTAACCTGGACCACTGGTTCTGTTATTCTAATATAACTCTTGTTCCCTGATCAGAATGTGACCACCAGGCCTCAGCGAGAGCTAACAGCCCCAAAGATCGAAACCCCAAGACAGGATCTCAATGTGTAGTCCTGGTTGGTTTGAAACTCACTATGTAGACAAGGCTGGCCTCAGAGACCCACCTGCCTCAGCCTCCAAGTGCTGGGATTAAAAACACATACAATCCATCCCCGGCCATTCATTCCCTTCATTCTTAGAAACAACCTCAGAAAGACAAAGTCACTCCCAGATCGACTCCACTGTAAGCACCTCTGTTCCCCAGGGTCCAGACAATGTTCCACAGCTGGCTCAACTTCTCATCCAAGCTTTTCCACTTCCAAGAGCTTCCTTCCAGAAACCCAGTGGGTTGGGGACCACAGCAATGCAAGAAAAGACCTATGAGCTTAGCCCTTCCGACCCTCCCGATGGAGGCAAGGAAGTAGGGGACACTCAGTGTGAGTCAGGTTAGCCCACAAAAAGAGCAGACAGGCCAGGCCCACTCCTAGGGATACACGGGAGAAGAACTGGTGTGGCCAGGGTGTGGGCGGGGACTGGAGCAGGAGGGATGAGGACAGCTGAGACAGAAAGGTATTAGCAAATAAGGGGACAGGGGCCTGAGAAGCAGGAGCTAGTATTGGCCGGTTGAATGAGTGTAAGGGGCTGTCAGGGATACAGATGGAGCCTGGGCTGGGCAACAGGTTCAGGAAAGTCCACACAGATTCATTTCAGAAGCTAGAAGTCTAGACCCTTGAAGTTTCCTCTCTCTCTGCTACTAAGAGCCAGAGCCCTTACTTAGAGGTGGAACTGAGACCTTCTGGCAGCTGAAGAGCCCCTGGGGGTGAGGTCCCCTCTCAGGACAACAGGAACAAGACTGTGGGGGACCAGAAGTGGGAGTTTCTCCAACATAACCCCAGCCTTTCCTTGAAGCCATTGCAGGATACAAGTCAGTATGGAGTTCAGCTGGGCTTCTGCAACAGCCTGAACTGTGGAGGATATGCCTCAAGGGTCTCTCTCTCTCTCTCTGGATTATAGGGTCAGGTTCTGGGACTAATGACACCGTAAGTGTGGTCAGCTCTTTGATCTGCAGGTTCAGCCAGTCATTAGCTCTCCCACCAGCAGCCCCAGCCCTGCCTATCACGCCAGAAGCCTGTGGGACCTGTTCGCAAGTTCTGTCTCCCACACGTGAGAGACCCCCCCCAACCAAAACAACTTCCTGGCCTAGTCGACCCACTGCTGAGGGCCAGCAAGCAGGCATGGGACAAGTGCCTAGATTCGTTTCTATGTTTCCATTTCACCTGCCACACAAAAACCTCCTGGGAGGCTGTGGCGGCTGAGGGATCCTCGGGAGGCTGGAGATGGATTATGAGCGATGCTAATGCCTGGGGTTTGTATGCAGAGGACTCAGACTGGGACCCAGCTGAGCGCAAGACCAGAGACAGTCTCCTAGACAAGCTCTTGAGCTTTCAACTGGTTCCTGCCCTAGACCCTGCTGTATATCCTTGCTGGTATGCAAGAGTTGGACATCAAAACCAGCCACTGCCAGGGACTTCCCAGTCTTGGGGGCAAAGAGAAGGCTCTCCACCATACCCGCTCACCAGAACAAGTCAGGGCTATATCTGCCTGGCACTTAGACTCTATTTGAGGTGGTTGGGTGACTATGAGTCGATGAGAGGGGAAGATGAACAATTGACTCTGGCCTGGTTTGCAGTGCCTGGAAGCACTGAGGATGGCTCAGGCACAGCCCCCAGCCTTCCGAGCAGTGCGACACTATGTCCCCTGGCAAAGGCATCTCAAACCTCAGTTCCCGGCCTGGAAGCAGAAGCCACTCACTGCATACTGTAGCAACCTCTGTATGGAGGCAGCAGGGTCCTGCAGGGACTATGCAGAGTATCTGGACTATCCAGCAATTGGCTCCCTGGGCTTGCTCACTTCTGGGTCCCCCCTCAGCAGTGCAACAATTCCTGTTGTACTGCCACGACACCCCTGTCAGCTCAGCCCAGTGCCTGCAGGCCCTCAATAAGCCCTTACTGACTGTTAAGCAGGTATTTCCTACTCTCAAAACTCTGACATACTCCACTGGGAATGGCAGGCTTTTAAGCCCTACCTCCCAAGCCCAGATACTTACGGTTGGTCTGAGGGCGTCTCAGGGGTGGCCTTGGCAAGGTAGGTGACTGGAACCAGTCCCGTACTGGGTGGACCAGAAAGCCTCTGTGCAAAGATGTAGTCACCCTCCTCCTTGAGGGCGTAGAGTCTGTCCCCACGACTGACACTCAGTTCCTCTGCACACCGAGCAGTGAAGTCGTAGAGCGCGCGAAAGAGTCGGGCGCGTGGGGCAGCAAAGCTGCAAGTCTCAACGGCAGTGGGCTGCTCCAGCACTGGGCTGTCATCGAGTCCCTGGATCCGGGGGATGTCTTCCTCCGAGTCACCCGCTGGCCAGATCTTATCCCAGAAAAAGGACAAGAAAGTGAGCCTCTTCCGGAAGAAGGGCTCCATGCCTAGGGAGCCTGGTTGTAGACACAGGCGCATGGAGCTGACTTGGGTCAGTACTCGGGGTCCTCAGTGCTGCCGCTGAGAAGGTGGAGCACTACAGCCATGCACCGAGGAGGCCAGGGTGCGAGGGAGAAACCAGAAAGGCTGGTGGAAAGCCAGGCTACCCCGTGCTTCCTGCCCACGTCCCTACTTGACACAGGATGGGAAGTGACAGGTGACACAGACCCTAACCCTAACCCCGGAGGTCATTACAGAGGGCTCCTCAATCAGGCACACAGCACGTGTCAGCTTCCCGGATGGCGTATCAATGCGTAGGGTCGAGGGTGACCTCCAGCCCAGGGCCACACAGGCTGCTCCTCCTATCCTTCCACAGCTATGCAGTCTGGTGAGTAGGATCTCGGCTAGGGTTAAAAGCAGCTGGACTTGAGATTAGTGCCGCGGTATGCTCCTAAGGCTAGACGGAGATGGGCGGAGCCTGTGGAAGGGGCGGGGAGGGGAGGGGAGGGCCTACTGGGACATGCTGCCCTTTACCTCCCCGCTCCCAAGCACAGGTTAAGGGGACCTGCTCTACCCTGCTAGACTGGCATTGGCACTCAGCAGCCGCCCTAGGATCGTGGGGTCTATAGAGGGAGCAGCTCATTATCGGTAGCTAGATTTCTGTGAAACACTATTCGACTTGTTAAACCTTAGCTAATTCTGTAACGTAATCCCCCACCGCCCCCGGATCCAGGGGCAGATGCCAATAGGTATGCGCAGCCTGTCCAACTTAGCGGTGGCCTCTGAAGCAAATGCTCAACACACAGTGAACTGTTGGCACCCTGATTCCTGTGTTGAGAAATGCTGGTAGTAACCTCTGGGGGGACTAGTGAGGGGCCAGGTACATAGGAGGTGTGGCTTGAGTATGATTTCTGAGCCATTTCATGACCAGGAGATGTTTCCTACCACTGCAGAGAGGAGACTTGGTTATCTAGGACTCCAGCTTGGGGATATGGTCAGCATGCAAGGAAAGGGAAGTGGGTAAGTTCTCACCGAGCCCTGAATTCTCTTTCTGGGTAATGAGGCAAGCCACCCAGTTTTGTACCAAGTCAGGAAGTGGGGACCAAGTTCCAGCAAGCTCAGTTCTAGAACATGCTCCTGTCTGAGTCTGAGGAGGGGTTCTCGCCTGCAAGCTCTCTGCCCCCTTGCTGGCTTCTCTCTCCCAAGCACAGCACCTTAGCATCTCTGAGTGGTTACTACTAAGCTTCCATATATAATTGCTACAAATCCTTCCTCCACTGCTTATCCTTCAAACATATCGAACAGGTTTCTTTCCCACCTAGCCTAGAAAAGTAGACTTTTTTTTTGTGGAGCAGCTGGGGCAATTTATAAGCTCTAGTGTACCAGAGATACCTATGAGCTCACTGGTTTTGCCCTTCCAAGAATCCCAGGTAGCTAAATCCCAGTCCCTTGGCTTGAACATCCAGGAAGGGACAGGAACTCTAAGACACAAGCTCCATGTCATAGACATACAAACTGTCCAGAAAAATATAAAATTCAGGGAGTTCCAGAAGGGGCCTTGATGCTCACATTCACCTGTCTTGCTGTATAAATGGAGTCCTCAATATTAACCATGTACCTCCCTGGTAAGAAATTAAACTTCCTGGGGCCTGGAGAGATGGCTCAGCGGTTAAGAGTCCTGGCTGTTCTTTCAGAGGTCCTGAGTTCAATTCCCAGCAACCACAAGGTGGCTCACAAACATCTATAATGAGATCTGGTACTCTCTTCTGGCCTGCAGGCAGAACACTGCATATATAATAAATATATATATATATATTAAAAATTAAAGAAAGAAAGTAAGCTTCCTATCTTCAGGCTGTGGCCCTACAAGGGATACCCCCTCTGCACAGATCATGGTGAGGTCAGGCTTAGGGCACTGAGTGTAGATTCCTCCCAGACACTCCCTTGCCCCTAAAGCCACTGTGTCCTGGTCTCGGGGACCCAGCACATTTTATGTGTAGCTGGAGCCCAAAGGCAGACAGATGGTCAAGACTAGAGGACTCCGCCCTGTCCTTTGACCTGTTCTCCAGTCCTCATTCCCAGGCCTTTATCAGCTCAAGGAAATGCTGAGAGTCAGGAGACCAACAACTGCTGTCAGAAAAGCCTGGAGATAAAGGAGTCTTCTTCCTCCCATAGATAAGGAGAGTTCAGCCCTTCCCCAAGATCAGAGCAGGGAGAGAATTTGTAGGATCCAGCTCAAAAAAAAAAAAAAAAAAGATTCCACCCACAGACAGAATTGCTGTATGTTGCAAGCATGAAATTTGCCTTTTGGTTTTCATTTAGCCAGGGGCTTACAATTAGGAGAGTGCCTTGAGTCCCTTGAGACTAACTTTTAAACTGGGTTGAGACTCTTTAAAAAAAAAAAAGAGTATGAGGACTTTTGAAACTGGACTAAAATGCATGTTGCGTGACGATAGGAACATCATATAGTGGTCAGGAAGGGGGATGTGAGGGTTTGAATGAGAATGGTCCCCATAGGCTCACATACGTCAACTTGGTCCCTAGTGAGTTGGATTGTTTGGGAAGGATTAGGTTTATCTTATAGGAGGAGGTATGTGTGGGGGGGGGGGGGGTTGAGGTTTCAAAAGCCCGTATCATCCCCAATCTGCTTCCTCTGCCTCCATCTGGCAGATAAGGATGTTAAGCTCTCAGCTGCTGACCCAGCACCATGCCTGTCTGCTTGCTGCCATGCTCCCCACAATGATGATCATGAAATTATAAAGCCCAATAAACTCTTCTATAAGTTGCCTTGGTCATGGTATCTTGTCACAGCAATAAAAACTAAGACAAGGGATGACTTGGAGACGGGCTAATCCCCGCTGGACCCCGAGTGGTGTCTCTGCAGCCACAGCTACCCTGTGTGCTGGCGTGAAAAAAAAAAAAAAGAAAAAAAAAAACCTTGCATCTGGGAAAATGGATGACGGGTAAGGATCATCACTCTTTACAACTGCTGTGAGCCAACTGTGGTGGTGCACACCTTTAATCCTAGAGTTTGGGAGACAGAGGAAGGTGGGATCTCTGTGATTTTGAGCCCAGCCTGGTCTACAGAGTTTCAGGCCGGTGAGGGCTACATAGTGACACCCTGTAAAAACAAAAACAAACAAAGCACAGCAAAGCACTGCATGTAACTCTGCAAACCTCAAAATGACATTTTTAATTAAACATTAGAGGAGCTGGGGTGATGGCTCAGAAGTTAAGAGCACTTGTTGCTACTGCAGACCACCTGGGTTCAGTTGTCAGCGTCTACATGGTGGATTGAAAAACAACCCTAACTCCAGTTCCAGGGAATCCAACACCCTCTTCTAACCTCTGTGGGCACCAGGTATACACATGGTGCACATTCATACATGAAGGTAAAATGCTCATATATATGTACAAAATATATTTTTTAATTAAAAAGTTAAGAATTGGGGGTAGGCGGATAGAGTGGGACTGAGGAGCCTTTTTTTTTTTAATAGGCCTAGAACAAGCCCAACCCCCAAGAGCAAGGGTAGTGAGCCTCACCCACCTCCTTCCTGAGGAAGAGCTGGGGAGCTGGTATTCTTCCTGTAGCTTTTCATGCTCTTTGCCTCCCAGGGACCAGTTTTCCTCCTGGACATTCATATGGCATCCCATGGGATCCGCGGGCTACAGCTTGGTGAAATGTCAAGCAGGCGCCCCTTCCCTGCACTCCATTGGCATCTGCGGGCTTCTTGGACCCCAGAAGCCAGGGCTTTCCCGTTCAAAGACAACGTTTTCCTGCAGGGAACCCACTTCAAGCCAGTCTGTTGGCCCAGCCACCTTAGAAGCTCCTGGGCGGGTGCGAGACACGAAGCACAGTTCCACTAGCCCGTGGGGCGAGCTAAGGTCGAGCTTGTTTTGAGTCCGTGGGGCCCTGGACATAAATCGCTGCTGCCTCATACCTGAGTTCCGCCCTCAAATCAAGAGTTCACTACACCTGGGCTGGTGCACAGCGTCACAAGGGCCAGTGGTTCCTATGGCAACAGGTGGGCCTGAGGCAGGGGGAGCGCTGACCGGACAGTGCACCCTGCGGCTCGCGCTGGGCTCAGCAGAGGAGGCGGCCACCAGGCACTTGCAGAAGGGGGCTGGGACTCACGAGGTGATCCGGAAGAGGAGTGGTAGGTAGAGGGCTTGGGGAGGTGTGCCCAGGGGATCGGGGTGGGTCGTCTCCACAGGGGAAATGGAGTAACTTAGATGGGGAAAGTAGCTTTGGAGAGTTCCATAGAGTTTTGTAGCTGCAAGGAACTGTTTTGGCTCAGGGTCCTGGGGCCCTGGTCTCAGCTTGCATTCAGCCGGGAACTAATCTCTGCTGTCCCGGATGCCTGTTTTAGCCCTCCCGACTCTTTGGGAAAGCGAAGCCAACTTGGATCAACCTTACTAGCAGGGACCTGTGTGGATGACCTTGAGCACTATAGTCATCCAGTCTCTTAGTTCTGTTTCTCATTCATCCAACCCAGTTTCCCACAACCTGAAATCTCCAAGTGAAGCCACTGGCCCAGTGCCAGGGACAACTAACTGGCAGGCTGCTGGTCCCTTCACCAGGGAGCTCTTGGCTGTTGGGCTGTGTGGTATTTCAGTCTCTCCACAGGCAGCCAGATTTGGGGGACCAGGTATGGGGACAAGGAGAGGAGGGCAGACTTCAACGATCCCAACTTTGTGATAAACCGGATTCAGTAGCATACACCCCTGAAGTCTCAAGAGGGTGTGATGAGAAGGCTTGAGCACAGGGGTTGGAGGGCAGCCTGGACAACAGAGCAAGATGCTATGTCAAAACCAAAAGTGACCGTGGAGGAAGACGAGCCTGCCCAGCTTTTAACCTCAGACTCCCTATCTGTGGGATGGTAGGATGGGACCTGCTCTGCTCTTGAGCACGAAAGGCCCCTCTCCGTGTGAGGATGATGTAGAGTCCTGTAGCAGTGCTGAGGTATACCAGATCTCTGGAGAGTATTGGGATGTATGGGTAATCGTCAGTGCCCCAGGGGTCACTCTAAGCTTCTCCACAGCCCCAGGGGCACCGTCCATTATCCATGGTAGGGACCTGAGGCTTAGAGGATCTGTCTCAGAGCTGCTTTACAGGCCATTCTGACCCCATAGCCCACTCTCTCAGCTCTGTTAGCTCATCACCCACAAAAGACTACTGGCCCCTAGATAAAAGTTTCCTGTTCATCTTCTACTCTTGTCTAGTACCCAGCCTACTTATTCTATCCCTCCAGGGGTCTCTGTTCAGAAGGCTGTGGTCCAGGGGGGAGAGCAAAGGACATTTATGGGGCAGCGGCTGATGTGAGGAAGGCTTAGGTTAAGGGGCAGAGCCAGTTTGATTGTCACAGCTGATGCCTAGTCCTTACCCTCAGCTCCTCGACAATGAACTTCCAGGTGACAGGCCTGGCCCTGGACAAAATGAAACTGGACAGTCCACATTCCTTCCTGGACGCAGAGGAGGTAGAGGAAGCAGACGACCAGCAACTGCTGGAGCCGGAGGCTTGGAGGACCTATGTGGAGCGCCGCAACGTGCTGCGTGAGTTTCTGACCACAGACCTGAGCCCCCAGTTGCTCAAGCGCCACCACGCCCGCATGCAGCTGCTTAAGAAGTGTTCCTACTACATTGAGATCCTCCCTAAGCACCTGGCCCTGGGTGACCAGAACCCACTGGTGCTGCCTAACACCATGTTCCAGCTCATTGACCCCTGGAAGTTTCAGCGCATGAAGAAGGTGGGCACAGCACAGACCAAGATCCAGCTCCTGCTGCTCGGGGACCTACTGGAGCAGCTAGACCATGGCCGAGCAGCGCTGGATGCCCTGCTCGAGGCCCCTGACCCGCGGCCCTTCCTGACTGGCTGGGGGCTCGTGGAGCAGCAGTTGGCAGACCTGTCAGTTGTCATGGACAACTTCCTGGCCATGATGGTACCAGGGCACCTGCACGTCAAGCACCGCCTGGTGTCTGACATCGGAGCCACCAAAATCCCACACATCCGGCTCATGCTGAGCACAAAGATGCCAGTTATGTTTGACAGGAAGGAGTCAGTGGCCCATCAGGACTGGGTCAGCCTGCGCTGGTTCGTTACCATCCAACCAGCAGCGCCAGAGCAGTATGAGTTGCGCTTCAAGCTGCTGGAGCCGCGGACACAGCAGGAGTGTACACAGTGTGGCATAGTCCCTGTGGCTGCCTGCACCTTTGATGTCCACAATCTGTTGCCCAACCGTACCTACAAGTTCACTATCAAGAGGGCAGAAAGCTACACCCTGGTGTATGAGCCCTGGCGGGACAGCCTCACCTTGCAGACCATGCCAGGACCCCCTGGAGGGCCTGCCCCCAGCCGGCTGGGCAAGCCCAGCCTGCCCCTGACCACACCTTCTGAGAGATGATTTTCTAATATTTATCCACTAATAAAGAGGAGTATACGCACACCAAATTAAAGACACAACCCTACTTAGGCCTTAAGGCAACAGCAACCATATAGATTTTTCCTGATGGCCCACAAGTCCCAGAGCCCCTGTGCCTTCTGTCTTTTCCAGGAGAGCCCCAGATTGGACATTTCAGCACCACTGTCCACAGGAGCAGGAAGTGCTGGCTGCTGGTACCTGGCTGCCACCTCCAATAATGGGAGCTGTTCCAAGGGAACTCAGCTCCCTTAACCTCAGCACCTCCTATGTCCCTCACCCCACCCCCACCCCCACATCCAGAACCAGATTTCTTTGCCTTCCTCCTAGCTTGAGTTCCCTGAGGAAGAGGATACTTTGGTCCTGTCTGGACACCACTGAGGGCAGTCATAGCCTTGGTGTCAGCATCCCAGATGCCTTGGAGCAAGGATGCCCAGGACCAAATGATGTCTTACTTTTAAAATAAAGGTCTTACATTCTCTCCAAGTAAACTGAAGTTCATGGGCACCCCAAGTGTGTGAGGGTCCCAGAAAGGAACCCTGACTGGGACCTTCTCTAAGACATTCAACGGTGCCACCCCTTGCCAGTTGATGGTATTCAGCACACATAGGTGACCACATTCCTCATTGGTGTCCAAAGCACCTTGATATTAAGGTCTTCTACACACACACACACACACACACACACACACACACACACACACACACAATCACTTAAGGTTGAAGAGGTAGATGCAGGTTTGATCACCTCTAGGTCCAGAATGATAGCACTTTGTACGCTGAGCAAAGCAACAGAGCCGATAAAGAGAATAAGAGCTGACACATCACGCTCTGAGCCCAGCTTCCTCCCCACCACACGCACCGTGGGTAATAGTCATCCTGAGATTACCAAGCCTGGCAGGAGCAGGTGGTCAAGTGATCAAAGACAGGGAATCCTCCCCCAATGGCAGAGGAGTCATTTTCCGAGTCAGAGCACACGGGGGATGTGCTCTGCCTGTCGGGGCTCAGCCGGGTAAGTCAGTCAGGTACTTCCAGCCACTGATGGACAAATCAGGACTGTCATTCTCTGTGGCATCATGTGGTCAAAGTGCCAATTGCTTATAGGTGTGTCTCAGGATAGGGTTATCCTAGAGATGTAGGATGGACCCACAATGGCCTATGTGTTATGAGTGGAGACTGGGTATTGGTCATGGCAATTCTCCCAGAGAGGGGAGACCTAGAATGAGGGCTGGCTAATGGAAATATTTGTGGGTCTAGCAGCTTGGCATGCTGACTAACTGAGAGCAGAAGACTCCTATCCCTAGCTATGGTCCAGCCTTGTGCCCCATTAGGCCCAGAGGAATGTAGCCTAGAGGTGGACACACAGTGGAGCTACTACAGACACGAGGTGCTGGGAAGCTGGTTCACCTAGCCCATTCCCCAGCCTGCGCACTGCCCACTAGTGCCAATACCTTCTCAAGGCTCATCTCACCTCCACCACACTTGGCATCTTTATTCATGATGGATCTGGGTTTCTTCTCATCTTGAGCTCCAACTTAAAAACCATCCCTCACTACTTCCCACCAACTTCAAATCCTCTTCCTCTAAAAGAATCCCTCCCTGACTCTAGGTGGGGGGAGATCCTACTGTCTCTTATCTGGGGATGCCTTGCTTATTTTAGTACATATCCATCCCCAAACTCCACTACTTATTTATGGCTGCTCTCGAACTGCTCTTTGAGCCAAAGGCACCCCAAACCTTTTAAAAGCTCATCTTCTACTATCACACCCCTAGTACAAGCTGCCCCCAGGAACCCAGCCAGGACACTACGATCCCTGCCAAACTCAGCTGCAGACCTACGTGGATGAGGGGGCAGGTGGGGTTAGTGCTCTGTAACTCTAGAAACAGATGTAGCCCTTGGGGACCTCTTTTCCTTACAGTGTCTCTAGGATCATTCTTGTATCAGCTGTGCTAGGGTAAGCTTGTTTGGCTACAAGTCAAAGGCCAAATGAATGCATGTCACAAGTTGACTTGGAGAGGAGGTCATAGGGCCCAGACCAGGTAAGTTGTCACTGAGGTCACAACCGTAAGGACTTTGGACCTGCTTTCAGCCTGGGGACTAAGAGCACTTAGCCAAACCTACAGGATCAGACTTTAGCACTCCAGTTCCAGCCCATCTCTGCTAAATCATCCACTAGCTTCCTATGACTGTGCATCCATTTTCCGAGTCATGAGATAGGATACCACTACCTTCTCTTCCCACTCTCCCAGGTTCTGGACCCAACTCCTCCTCTGACCACCTCAACGGCTACAAGATGAAGGCCAGTCCTGTCTACTCTTGCCCACAGCACAAAACACCCATGAAAACTTTCAGAGAAACTTTTATAATAAAATTATCCAGTTACAGAAGGCATAACCTGAGAAAAGGTTAAAAGATGGAATGTGTAGAAATTCATTTGTAGAAAACACCAGATGTCATTCCCACAGAAGGCTCTGCAGCCAGGCCTTAGGGAGCCCCGCCTCTTCTGGTGTAGTACAGCTCGCTTGTAGCATCCCTGTCCTCGGGAGAGGAGATTCTCACTGAGAAGGGAGGTGGCTCCGGCCTTGGAACTGCCAGGAGGTGGGAGCACAAGGGGGAGACATGAAGGGAGAGATTTTTGCCTGCTCGGTCCCGCAGAAAAAAAATTTAGATTTAGGTTGTCCTAAAGCCCTAGATATAGACATGAAAGCTTGGTAAAGAAGCATAGCCCCCCCCCAGTGGTACTGGGGTACCTCATTCCCAGCTGCCTGCCCACAGGCAGGGCTGCTACTTCACATCCCAGGAGACAGGGCTGTTGTGATCATTTGGCTTAGCTGTGTCCTTCTCTCTCCCTATCCTAGCAGGTAGCCCTGCAGGATATAAGGTAGTTAAATAGTAAAAGATAAAAAGTCTTTCTTCCAGGAAGGCTTCCTTGCCCATTCTGAGTGGCCCAGTAAGAGGTATTATCTTTAGGTTATTAAGACTAGAAAATATGACAAATGAATGCATGGTGCCCAGTGCAACTATAGATGGATCTCAGTGTCAAAGTGCAGCTCAGAGGAGTCTCATTCCTGTTGATGCTCCTAGTAACAGCAAAGGTATATCCTAGGGTCCTCTGGGGTCACTAAGAGGTGTCCCAGTCACCAAATGCCCCAGGAAAAGCAACACAGTCAGGAGCAAAGGGGCCCACCTCTAGCCCTTTCCCTTCCACTCAAGTTCAGGCACAAACAGGAAGGTCATCATTATTAACTCTGCTTCCGGCCCAGGAAGAGGCCACCACCCGTAGGACTGTCACTGCTACATGACTGCAGCCAGTATCTTTGGGGCCTCTCCCAAGAAGATAGCAGAGGTGGCTGACTAATGTTCATCTGGGACTGTGAGCTGTGGCAATCCACTATATGCCCAGGGCCTTGGCAGAAGAATGAGGGACATGTCCTCAGCTGCTGGTACATCAAAGGCTGGGCAGGCGAGGGCTCTTCAGGAGGACAGAGCAGACTTTCTCTGGACCCGCACCTTCTCAGCAGGTACAAGGCTGTGTTGGGCCTCACAGAAGTCTAGGAGACGATGCCAGAGTGGGCAGCAGCGTAGCAATACGTGGTCCCCTGCAGAGAGAATCAAGGTAGCTCTTAGTTCTGGCCCTGAGCATGCTTGACACTGCCTCACCCCAGCCTTCCCCAGAAATGCAAACCCTCACCAATGAGGCACAGGCCCTCCTGTGCCCGGGTGATGGCCACGTTTACTTGGTGGGGGTCCACAACAAAGCCCAGAAACTTCTTGAGCCAGCTCTTGGTTGGCCGCTGGTCCACGTCACTCTTGGGGCATGTTCTGACTGTGCTCACTAATACATAGCGCCACTCGCTCCCTGGGAGGAGGGGAGGGGATGGTAGATGAATTCACAGCTCTATGCCCACCAACACCCCTGCTGACTCCCACACTAATATGGGGGCCAGCCTCACCCTGGCTCTTGGTTATAGAAGTCACAGTCACTCCGGTGACCCCTCTTTGCCTGAGGCCCTTGCTGATTGCGGCAGCCTGTGCATTGTAGGGTGTAAGGACGGCGATGTCCTTGGGATCCACAGTCCGGTCCAGGGTCAACTGCTTGGTGATGCGGACCTAAGTAGATGAGAAGGCAGGTAGAGTTGGAACCCAGTCCTCCTGTCCTGAGCACAGAGACCTGGCTTGATCCCAGTCTTCCTGACCACTGAAGCTTTCCTTGGCCTTCACCCTCCTCCAGGAAGCCTTCCCTGACCTGCCAGGCACCAAGGCGAGTTGCTCTGACACTCACCACCTCTGTTACTTCCTCTGGATTGGCCTTGGAGTTCTCATTGCCATCCTCGGTGGACACCAGCAGCTTCTGCTCGTGGCCCTGGACATAGCCAAAGATGACAGAGCAGCTCTCTTTGCCAGCATGGCCCAGGATGCTAGGTGGACGCTTCAGGTCAGGCCAGGTCTTCAGTTTTCTCCCATAGAACTCCATGGAGGGAAAGGAGCAGATGTCCTTATGCATACGGTACTGTGTGTCCAGCATGATGGCATCCCTGTGGTACCTCTCAAAGAGAGACCGGTCCATCCCCAGGTTTCGCAGCTGGTCGTTCTTGATCACAGGCTGCAGCTGCTTGTGGTCTCCAAGGAGAACCACCTGGAAGCACAGACAGATATGATCTTGACACCCTTATAGCCAGAGGCATCCCAGCTTCTTGGGGGACCCAGGCAGCAGCTCTAGAACCCTTCCCGTCTTACCTTCTCGATCTGTGAGAAGCACACCAAGGGGATAAGGGTTTCTGGCTCAGTGGCCATGCCTGCCTCATCGATAAGGACCTGTCGAACACGGAGGGTTTTCAGGCTCCCCGATGCCGCACAGGAGCAGGTGCACAGGATGACTGAGTGCCGGTCAAGCTCATATTTACGTGCCTTCCCCAAGACTCTCTTGTACCTGTGCGAGGCAACACGCGTCATCCGGTGAGCTTGCCGACAACGGGCAGTGGCTGTTCTCATTTTCGGTTGTGTATGCCTTTCCTGCCACTGCTGTCTGCAGCTATAGGCAGCAGTTAGGCCACAAGAGCTGCCCCCTGAGGGGATCCCATTCCCTCCTTCACAGCTACGAGGGAACTCGTCTAAATCTCTGTCCCTCTAAAGAACTCAAAACTCAGTGGTCGAGGTAGAGTTCTGCTCCTTGGAGAGGCTGAATAGCAAGCGGCTCACCTCCTTCTCCAGCCCCCTCCTCAAGCCCCTGTGCTTGTTCCCACCCCTCCCTATAAACCCTTCTCCACCTGGCTCCTCCCTACAGCTTCCTGTCAGCTAGTTGTTGACCCAGCCTCCTGACCGCAAGTGAATCTTATTTAATCAAACTCATCTTTGTATCATTAAGCAAATGTTACAGAGCATATGACAACAAAGTAACACACCTTAAGATGACATTCTACAACAGGCAGCTCCACCTAGCGCTAAGCCCACCACTTACACCATAAGATCTTCCTTTGAGAATGTTTTCCCTTCCCGAAGCTGGGCATCAAATTTTCTGATCTCTGCTGCATATGGATTGGGGGCATGGCGGATCCGGTGGTGAAGGGTGATACTCCTACAAGGCAGGACCTTGGTGGAACCCCTGCGCCATGGAGGTCCCCTTGCCTCGATCCCAGCACAGACAGATAATATGCTCTACCTGAGGTTCTGATTCGGCCTCCCTTCCTGAGAGGTTTTGCCGAATAGAGTCCTGCTACTGACTCCTGGCATCGGGAACTCGGTGGCCTCTGCCTGCTCCCCATACACACGCAGGGGCCTCAACTCTGTCTTCCTGCTCAGGAGCAGTCCTAGGGCAAGGGAAGATCTGAGAGACTGCACCTCGATGTCCAGCACCCTCTGGCAGTCCCACACTTCATCCCTCACACACCTCCCATGACATCCACGGACTTGTTGGAGGGGCCGCAGTATAAAACACATGGCCCCCCCTGCTGTTCCTCTCCGCCAGGGCTGCTGCCAGTTGGTACTTGCTGCTGGTTTGACCTATGGAACCAGTATATAATGTGGAGGCCCACAATGGTCTTCCCTGTGCCTGTGGACAGAGGACAGTGTGAGTCCCCGTAGCCACACCTGCCCGCCCAGGGCAGCCCTTGGCTCCTGCAAATGAACTCCACCTGGTGGGCCCTGGATGACTGTGAACTGCTTCTCCAGAGCGCTTCTGATGGCTCTGTTCTGGCTAGGGTTCAGCTTATGCCGTCCACCAGGGATGTTGTAGTTCTGTCGCTCCAAGAACCTGCTGGTAGGTGCTGGGGTGGGGATGGAGCAGAAGCCAAGGATCATTTGAGCACCGTGCACTGGGGGAGAGGTGGGGAAGCTAAAGAGCGGACTTACCCCTGAAGAAAGAGTGCTGGTGAGGCCGGTGAGGCCGGTGAGGCCGGTGAGGGGGCTCAGGGATTGGCCGTCCCAAGGCGATGCTGATGACCAGCGGGCATGCCCCTTTCAGTCTGCGCACAGCTTCTTCCTTGCGGCTGGGGATGAGAAAGGATGCCAGCAAGTGAACAGGGTTCTCCTAGGGAGGGGTCATGTCCTCCCAGGAAAGGGGAGCCATTGGACCTCAATCCAAGGGACCTTCTCCCTGACCTCAGGTGACAGAAACCACTCACAGGTCAGGAAGCTGCTTAGATATCACTTCCACAGTGAACCGAGCACTAGGTTTCAGCACCTCTTCTGGAACCTTCTCCATGGCCATGTGGTGGATGAAGAAATGTACCTGCCTGGGAACCTCCTCCCGATCCTCCACATTCTCCTGGTCCCAATCACCAGCCAGCCCATGGGCCACCCAGGTATATGTATCAGGGTCAATGCTCAGGAAGGGGCCAGGGCAACTGGGCCCAGGGAGTGGGCTGGCTTGCGGGAGAGGGAGCCCCTCAAGCCGAATGCAGAGGTAGCAACAGTCTAAGTGGGCGTTGATATAGTTCTCCTGGAGAAAGGCAGCTTCCAGCTGGAAGGTGCCCCGCAGCTGTCCCCTTGATGTCCGATCTGCATCCCAGAAAATGTGCACATTCTGCAGCACGATGGAGTCATTTTCTGAAACAGCGTTGGTAAGTGACTCCAGGGCACAGAGTGGCTCCCACACGCGTGAGTACTCGCTTACTTTTCGGTAGTGGTCCTGCAGAGTCTGGTGCACATGGCCTGAAAAGCAGTCACCTGGCCGTTCCATGTGCTCCAGACAGAGGCTGAAGCCAGGTACCACAGTCCACAGCTGCAGAGTTGGTGCCAGGAAGCCCCGCTGCAGGCTGGCACCAAGCTGTACTTGCAGGGTATCTCCCCGGTTCAGCTCGTAGGACACCTCTACAAAGTGTCCACAGCGACTCTGGTGTATCTGTACTTTCTCCCTTCGACGAGGAAGCTTCTTACCTTGCTCCTGGATGAGGGCAGCCACCTCAGGCCAGCGCTGCTCCTTCACCAGCTCCAGGAGCTGAGTCCACAGGGCTGCATCTATAATCTGGGTGTGTGGGTCAAAACCTGTGCCCAGCACTGGTAAAGACAGCTTGGACGTCTGCACTGAGTAGATACGGCGCCGCCATGCAAGCCGCAGGCCTGTTTGGCTCACTAGCTCCTGGGGGTGTTCAGCCAGCTGCAGAGAGTGGTAGTAGACAGGGCAGGGGTCGGGCAGGGTTTCTCGGTTGATGGGGAAGAGCATTTTGAAGCACGGGGAACCTATCTCGACATCCACCACAAAGCCCAGCTTGTATCGAGGCTGGGCCTTCAGCTGGACGGCCAGGTAGAGGCTATAGGCCCGCCTTTGGTAACTCTGGGCACATGCATACTGGCGACTAAAGTCCTGGCAGAGCCCATCAATGTCCCTGGTAGAATACGTACAGCCCCTGTGGCCCAATGCCATTAGGATCAGCCGCTGCAGCACCACATCTAGGTACCTACGGATGGGTGAGGTGGCCCATGTGTACCAATCTACCTGCAACGAGTAGTGGCCAGCGGGTTGCTGCTCACCCTGTCTGGAACGGACAAAAACAGAGCGGCCTAGAGCCTTTCGGAAGTCCAGGCATAAAGGAGCCAGAGAAGGGTGCATGTCATCTGCAGCAATCAGGTCCACCATCTGGCTGTAGTCGTGAGTGCCAGCTGCAAGCTGCACTTGTTTCCAGAGGGAAGCCAGGACATGCAGCTGCTTGCTGGGGGTGTACTGGGAGTCCACGTGGTGGCACAGGTGCAGCGACAGGGGCGCCAGTCCTCTGTGCTTCTTAAAAACACCGTCAAGCTGGTGCCTGCTGGGTGTGGGCTGCCACCTCAGCGGTGTCAGCGTCTGTGTGTGCTTACTGCGCACCAGGAATTCAGCTGCGTGGCTGTTAAACTGGATCATGTACTCTTGGACCATGATGTGGGCTGTGCGAAAGCCCAGCACACTGTCCTCATCTGGCGGCTCATAGTAGCAGGTGGCTGGCAGGCGCTGGCGGCGCAGCGCCCACGAGAAGTAGCAGGCAGCCACGACACAGGCTTCCACAGAGTCCAGGTGGGCTGGCAGCTCCAGGCCAGCCCCAGGGTGGCCCCTGATCAGTGCTTCAGCTTCCTCGTATGACAGCTGGCGGTCCGAGCAGATTACGGAGGGTGCAAATCGCAGATTCTCGATCCGGCCACTGCCCTTCCCCATGGTGAGGAAGAGGGAGATGGTGAGGCGGTCCCGGCCTGGCAGAAGGCTAAGCGCGTCCTGGCACAAGCTGTCTGGCAGCATGAGTACTGGCTCCCTGCTGGGGGCATAGAACACGGAGCCCTGCTGGCGGGCTTCCACGTCCAGTGCCCCATCCTTGGGTACCACGCTGGCCACATCAGCAATGTGCACAGCCACCTCATACACCGGGCCCAGATCCCGGACACTGAGAGCATCATCGAGGTTGCGGGCACCCTGGGGGTCCACGGTGAAGGTCAAGAGGTGGCGGCAGTCCTCTCGCTGACCGGTGGCCATGTTTAGCTCTGAGTGGTATCTCTGCAACGCCTTGGAAACAGAGGCTGGGTCTGGTGTGTGGGCCCTGAGGCCATGCTCTAGGTCAAGGATATGAAGGCCCTGCTCCCAGGTGATGGCCTTGGGCAGCACCTCCAGGACAATGCCTAGCGGGTAGTAGAACCGTTCTCTCCAAAGGACAATTCGGACCCAGAAGAGCCGTGTGCTCCGGTCCTCGGGCATGAGACTCTCGTGCCTTACGCGCTGCACTTGGCCTTGAATGAGGCGGTGGACGGGAACCTGCTGTGGGTCCTTCATCTCTGCGACAAAAATCTTGGTCACAGAACCATTGATGGGGATCATGATTCGGGGGTCCCACTCATCCATACGACACACAAAGGTCAGTTCATGTCTCCTCCTCTTCAGGACGCCCATCACACGACCCTGCGGGCTTCCTGAGGTGCCCCTGTCATTATCTGCTGCGTCTAGGACCTGTACTAGTACCTCATCCCCTGTGAAGGCCATCCCACAGTTCAGACGACCCCTGACCTGGATAGGGCTAGAGGCCATGTCATCCAGTGGAGTGGCCAATGCTCTCTCGAACGTCTCCTGTAGGAAGCTGCAGCGGCGGTATTGCTTGGGGTTTGAGCGCAGCAACTTGCGCAGCACAGATGAGGGTAGGTTTGTGTATTGTCGGGCCTGTTGTGGGGATGCGGGCCAAATCATGGTGTCCAGAAGCCCATCCTCCCGGACAGTCACGGTCACTTGCCGGCTTTCATCGAGGAGCTCCTTCAAGATGGCATCATCGGCGTTGAGCTCCCAGTCAGAGGGCCAGAAGTCAGATTCGGAGTCCTCAGGTTCTTCAGACAGCCCACCCTCCAGGGTGGACACTCCTTCTGCTGTGTCTCCAGAGGCTGAGTCTCCCCTTGCGGTGTCCTCTGCTGCTACTACCTCCGTCTGTGCTGTGGCTGACGCCCTGGCTCTAGTCTCTGTCTTCACTGCGACCGTGGTCCCTTCCGCTACGGGCCTTTGCAGGTCCTGCGCCACGGCTGTGTGCTTTGCATCTGGGTCCCCAGCTCTGAGCGTCAAAGAGGACCAGTGCTGTCTCTGGGCCACGCCCTGCTCGATCTGTCCCAGGGACAGGTCCTCGGGGAAGACGCTGTGATGCTCTATGCACTCACGGATGAAGCTTTTCCAGAGCTTTCTGCAGGCTCCAGAGGAACAGAGAGCCACAGCATCCCCCACGGCCACCAGCTGAGACTGGGCGCGGGTCATGACCGTGTTCAGCACACGAGGCTCAGTAAAGAATTCCGAGGTTGGTGCCCCAGGGCTGAGCAGACTATTGCGGTTGTGGACGGAACTCAATACCACCACCCGGAACTCACGCCCTGTGGGAGACATGGATCAGATAGCCAAGCAGAACCAGCAGACTGGCTAGCCCGCCCCCACCCTACATATACAAGTCTGAGGGATGGGCTGGAAGCTGCCTCCCTGATAAGGCTAGCCCCTGGCCCATATTTCTGTCACCTACCTGGCAGGATCTCAAAGCTGCCCACAGACACCTCACCCAAGTTCCTCCTCCTTAGCTCCTGCCTCAGCGCACTGACCTGCATGCAGACAAGTCCAGGGTTCTGAGGGCCTGTCCCCCGGTAAGGACCAGGTCCTCTTGCCAACCCTTGTACACCCTCACCCCAGCCATGGTCACGCGGATCAGACTGGAAAAGGAACAAAGCAACCCTCGCAAGGAAAGAAAAGTAAAACTGTGGGAGCCAAAGGAGACAGACAGCTCACCTGGGCGCCATGGGAGACCGCACAAATGTGTCTCTGCTCCCGAGGTCCCCAGCAGTGAGGCCAGGTGTTGTAGATCTCTTGTACCTTCTCCACCACCTGGGTGACCTCGGCCGAGTTCAGCCAGGATGTCATGGACATGTCCTGCTCAGGGCTGCCTGCCACATGGCAGAACATGAGTGGGTAATTTTGGGGGTGACACGGGACCTTGCCGCTGGCCTGGATGGGGTTGCCCTTGGCTACATAGAAATGGTGGGAGACGAAGTTGATGATGGCCGCAGTTGAACGGTAGTTCTCGTGGAAGATGATGCGGCTCTGCTGAGCAATCTTGTGTACCTCCTGCTGGTAGTATAGGAAGAGGCGATACAGGAGTGTGTGCCCAGCTGCCTTGGTCCTGGGCACACTGAAGAGCCTAGGCGTGACCTGCATGTGGTCCCCTGCCAGCACTACACGGGTTAATGACAAGGCATAGGCCAGTGGGATGAGGGCCTCGCACTCCAGCATTTGGGCTGCCTCATCAATGAAAATGTGGGAAAAGAAGCCAGCCGGCACCTGGAGCTCACGAGCCTGCGAAGTGGTGGTGACCACCAATCGGTGATGTACCAACTCTGCTCCCGTGGGTGGGCGAAAGGCCTTTTTGTCCTCAGTCAGGCAGCAGTACTGCAACGTGGTTGAGTCGGTCTGTCTTGGAGGGCGATCTGTGTACATCACCCTGAGTGGAGCTGCCTCTGGATGGCCGCTGTTGACATAGCTGTGGAAGTACTCCCGGATGTAGATGTCCGCAGCACTGTAAGAAGGGTAAGGCACTGTGAGATGCTGCCTTCAGGACCCCAGGCTTCTGGCTAAAACACATGTTCAGCCTTGCCTGGATGCCAGGGACACTCATAAGGCAGACAGACAGGGGTCTTGCCCAGGGACCCAAATGTCCCCAAAGGGATCAAAAAGCAAAGACACGGGGAAGGTCTGAGCCTGGGTGGTCAAGGGATAGCTTAGAGAAGGTGGTCTCTTGAGTTGAGGTCAAGGGGAGAGCTAGCCGTGGCCCAAGACAGCCCATGGTGGCTGAGGCCTGCCATTGATCCTAAACCCAGCTTCTGGGGGCTGCAATTTTGGCAACAAGAACTGGTATTCAGGCCTTAGGAGCAAAGCCTGAGAGGTAAGAGGCCAAGGAGATGCTGTATAGGATTTTCCAGGTAAGCAGTAGCCTGGCCACTCAGATCTGCAGCTCAGTCTAGAAATTGCCTCAGGGCACATGACCATCATTCTGGGCTTCCTTCCTCCCCCTTCTCTGGGCTAAAGAAGAACCCTGTGCCTGTAATAATATGTATTAGGGAACTAAAAAAAAACCACATTAATCAAAGGGGAACTTCTTGGTTGAATAGCTGGTTTCTATTAAGTATGTATAAATAAATAACTAGATGAGATAGACAAATAAATAAACAAATAAAATAATAAAGAAATACAGAGCCTTGACCAGGAAACATGGGGTAGGCCAAAACACAACACCACTATAACTCCCTCCCTGGCCCAGGGTTTGTGAAAAGGCACCCACTTCTCCTTACCCACACCATATATGCACTGACTGATTCAGGGCACCCCAGTTGGGTTTAAAATGCAACCAGCCACCAGCAACATCTTCATAATCAGAGAGCCAGACATCGTAGGAGGTAGGGCCAGTTGTAAGCAAGCTGAAAGCAGCTCTGGGCTCACCTGTTGGTGTGTGTACAGATGAGCACCTTGGTGTGGGGCTGCTGGACAACCTCTAGGGCGGCCATGGCCAGCGTGTAGGTCTTGCCAGTGCCAAAGGGGCCATAGATGAGAAGTGGTGGAATGGGCTTTGTGCCCTCAGGTCTTCTGCCTGCAATGAGTCCCACAGCCAGCTTCTGCTTGTGGTTGCCACGAAACGAGGGTGGGGTGGGCCAGGGTTCGGGCAGGGAGCAGGTGGGCAGGTCAGGGACCACCAGGCGCTCTTCAGGCAGGGCATCTACCGCCTGATGCCAGATCCGGAAGGTCAGAGGGTCGATCTGGAACTGCACCTCCAAGACGGGGCTGTCCTGCGGCTGCAGCCCCAAAGCCATACAGCACCGCGCTGGCAACAGCAGCCACAGTGCATTCTCCGAGCTGGCCCGCGTCTCCAGCCGTACTTGGTACACTGTATTGTCAGGCGCGGGCACGGGAGCCACAAGGGCTGTGCTGACTGCTCGGCCCAGCAGGAAGCCCTGGTCAGTGTCTGGCAACAGAGAAGAGGGGAAGGGGACCTCGGCATAGAGGGCTCCTGGTGGTGCAAAGAGCATGCCGAGTGCTGGTGTCTGCAGTGCTGTCTTCAGGGTTACCTGACCCTTCATGGCCAGCCTGGTGGAAAGTTACAGGTCAGCTCCCTACGCCATAGTCAAAGACCCATCTCCAAGTCCAGATGTGGGTGGCTCCTGCTAGCCCCACTGCCCCCACTTACTTGGCTACCAGCTGCTGCTGAGCGGCTTCCTCCTCATAGAGAAACTTGTGCATCCTCTGCCGGTAGTTTGCACGAGAGATGGGGCCCCAGACCACACCACTGTGACTGAACTCCAGGGCCAGGGAGGGTACCTTGTACTTGGCCATCAGGGCTTCCTGCTCGGGTGTCCAGTCTACCTCACGCACCACGCGGCGGTTGCCCGTGTGCCAGCATTCCAGCTCCTGAGAGTGACTGGATGCCGGCTTTGCACTGAGCCCGGGACTGTGTGACTGGCCCAGCTGCAGCTTCAGCTTCTGGAGCAGCACCGGTCTGTGACCGAAGTCAAAGACCACCCATTGCTCAAAGCTGCCAAAGGAGGCAGCCTGTACGCGCACCCCTACCTGGAACTCGGCTGGGGAGCCGGGCACATGGAAGTGCCTTCCCTGTGCATAGAGCTGGTCTGGTGGGAGGCTGGGGGCCACCAGTGAGAAGGCCGCTCCAGGCTCTTGCTTGAGCAGAGCAACATGTAACAAGGGATCCTGGAGAAGGAGACAGATAGGCCGCAACATGTCAAACGGGCCCTCCGACCCTTTCAGGGCCCGGGGTTACTCCTTCAACCCTGACCACCCATCCTTCCTTCAGGTAGCTTGCCACTTTCTGAGTGTGGGGCCCTCAGATTGTTTCATCTGCCCTGGTTTCCACCTCTGCCCATAGACCCTGCCTAAGCCTCAGAAGACATTTAAGAGAGAGAGAGAGACAGAGAGAGAGAGATGAACAGCTGGGGTTTTCAGGGTCCTGTCATTACAAGTCACACTCACTCTCCAGGTGCCAGACACCGGCACACTCATTTCTGATATTAATTAATACACTCCGCTGAGCGATCCCATGGGGTGAGGGTGCCGTGATCACCTGCCACTGTGGGAGGAAACTGAGGCAGAGAGACTGTAGGGTTTGTCCCAGGTCACATAGATGAGGAGGTGGAGCCATTGGCAGCGTTAGCTCCAAACCTGTATCTGCCCGCCTGTCGTCCTTAACACCCTGGGAATCCCTCCACCCACCCGAGGCAGGCTCTGCCCATGAGACCTGATGTCCCAGGGCTGTGGAGCCCTCACCTCAGAGTGGATGGTGAACCTCCAGTCGTGCTGAGTTGTCTTCGCCTGGGCCTGATGCACTAGCGGCTGGTGGCAGGTGACAGACACCCCATCGACAGTCTCAGCCATCTGCACGAAGAGGCCCTGGCTCTCAGCAGGGCAGCCCTGGACCCGTCCTCCCTCACATTCTCCCCAGCCTCTACTCACCACCAACACCTCTTTGCTGCTGCACCGGTACTCAGCTAGCAGCCGTGCCTGGTAAGACACCAGCCCATCCTGCCAGGCAGCCTGTTCTCTCATCTCCACGGCCCGAGCCCGCTGAACCCACTCCTGCAGCTCCTGTTCTGAGTGTGCCTTGATGCAGACATCTCCGTACTCACAGAGGTCGGGCCTGGGGAGGCGAGGAGGTCAGCGGGAACTCGTGGAGGTGTATGGCCTCAGGAGCCGCCAACCCTCTCAAGCCCAGCCCTGGGCCTGAATGGGGAGCAGAGATGGATTCTAGGCTAGGGGTGGGGTGGGGGTTGGGGAGATAGGGGTTTCATTTGCTCTACACCCTAAGTCTCCAGGGAAATGGCTGGCATTAAGGGACCTTCTTCGGAGGCCATTGCAGTACTAGCCTGACATGCGTGCACAGGACACAGGGGATGATAGGCAGGTCTCAGGCCTGCTGGGCCTCACAATCCCTGGTGCTGACCTGAGGTGTTTGTGGGGGGGGTTCTTCTCCTACCCTTGCCCCCTCCCACATAATTCCCCTTACCTAGGGCAGAGCTCAAATTTGGAGAGCCCCATTGGTGGGGCACAGTGATTCCAGGGCACAGCCTGGTCAAAGGCCACCATCTGCGCATGCTCCAGGGAGGAACAGTGGTTCTCAAATGCCTCCTGAGAACTACAGGTGACCAAGCAGGCGTGGCAGTACAGTTGGATCACAGGAGGTTGACCCTGGCTGGCCTTCCATTTGTCCTCTCTGAGGAGAGGGTATGTGAGCAGGTCTCCTCTCTGGAGTCCATCCAGCTGCTCCGCCTTCCACACAGCCATCTCCACAGCACTGTGTGCAAACTCACAGCGTGAGACCCCATGGCGGCACGGTAACCCGCGGCCCACAAACCTGCAGTAGTTCAAAGGACGTCTGTTCTGTGGCTGTGGCCGCACTTCCACAAACTGCCGCTTCCTGCCCTCGGTTATAACATGGATGAGGAGTGTGGGGCAGCTTTGGTGCCTAGGGCAATGGCCCCTGGGATCCACAGGGCGTAGGCATGAGGGACGGCACTTGAAGCAAAGGGCACAGAGCAGTTGGAAATGACCGCCGAACTCTGCTCGGATGGTGTCGGCCGGGGTCTGTGGCCTATCCAGGGCTCTAGTGCCCCGGACAGCAGCTTTCAAGTTCAGGCGGGAAAGGTTGTGCTTGCGCTCAAATGTCCAGACCAGCGCCTCCTCAGAGCTGCTGGCAAAGGTGCATCTGTTTCGGTGGCGCCTACAGCCCAACCCTGGGCTATAGTAGCGACAGACTTCATAGCGGCTAGGTCTTGGGAAGCTGGGTCGGCGGCCTACTTTGCGCCAGACCTTGTCCCTGGCACCCTGCTTGTAGCGGACCAGCAAGATCTCCGTGAGGCAGTCGTGCTCCACGTCATACAGGATGTAGGTGCTCTCGTTGAGGCACTGGGTGCAGTGGGCACAGCCCAGGCGGAGGTCTACCTGAGCATAGAGTTCCGCCAAGGATGTCTCTGTGGAGGCCGATGTGCTGGCAGGCTGCAGGCTGCGCCCCAAAGATGCCATCTCAGATGACGGCCAGGTTCTCCAGCGTTGTGGGGTAAGGCTTCTTCTGAGCAGCCGATCTACTGAAAAACCATCAGCCCTGAAGAGATGACAGGGAGAGAAGCGAGTCAGCCCAAGGTCAGGAAGAGTCCACATAGCCCCCTGCCAGGTGAAGGACAGGAACTTCTGTCCAACCTCGTTCCACCTGAACCTCTCTTCCTGAAAAGGAACTCAAGCGGCAGCTGGTAGAAGAAGGGGCCTGGGGGCGGGGGTGGGGCAAAGAATCCTCCATCTAGTACCTCTGGGGCTCCTTCACCCCTCAAGTTCCACATCTCCCGACCACTAAAAGGGTACCACCTTTCTTGAGAGCCGTTAGTCGGCTCCTGGGACTGTCATCGCCTACCAGACTTAGTAACAGGAGCCTCGGGGAGAGAGGGCACAGACTTGCAGAAGTCTTGCTCTACCCAGGTCGGATAGTCCTTATTAGAGTTCTCAGAGATGCCAGGAGGAGAGGTAATGTCCAGAGCCCAGAGTTTGAGTTAGTGGCACCGCAGCAGGGGTAGGAGAGGGAACTCCCTGCAAACACCCGGTCAGGTCTAAGGGGAATTTTCCTTTTTTTTTTTTTTTTTTCTTTTCTTTTTCAGTGTTGAGGATGAAACCCAGACTTCTTACACACGGCCGGCAAATACTGACCTACACCCTGTCACTCTAAAGAGAACTTTCAAGGCTGAGCTACAAAGATTGTGTTTTAAAAAGGAAAGAGTGAGCATCAGGCAAAGCCTGTGCCCCCTGCACTCCTGTGGAGGTTTCTAAATCATCAGAGCTAGAACCCCATACCCCCCCCCCGCCCCCGCAGCTGGAGAAGCAGGAGGAGGGGGCCATGGGGCTGTCCGCTGCTGGAGTCTGTCTGGGGCAGCTGGTCCTTGCCCATTTGTAGGCAAGGGGATGGTCCCCACACCTTTCCGGGTGGTCCCTCCAGTCCCCAGCCGCCACCCCATACTTACCCAGTACAACAGCATCGACTTGGAGCAGCGATCACTTTCGATTCTGCCCCTGGGGCGACTCAGACCTCTGACGACAGAGCACGGAAATTACCTCACTGCCCCCCCTGCCCCGCCCCCGCCCCGCCCTCAAGTGATAGCCTCCCTCTCAGACCTGGCGGAGCTCCCTGGACTTGGTAAGATTTTCCCCCCCACACTTACCACCCCCACAGTTTCCCTGGGGTCAACACTGCAGAATTTGACCTGGCCCTTTTCCTGTCCCGCCCCCAACTCACAGTTGGATGTCTGAAGCATCTTGTGTGGGGAAGGGTGAGGTGAGCCCCTGGAGGGGGATGGCTTTAGGGTCAAAAGATGCTCCTATCAGGAGTGGAAGGGCCCTTGCCTATAGACCCGTGACAAACTTATTCTGTGTGCTATGGCCAAGGGCTAGGGTCCCTGGGAGCAGCGCCAGACAGGTCAGAAACTGAGAACTTTGTGCTTCTGTTCCTAGAAGGCACTAGGCTTCTCGCTAGAGGCTCTAATGATTATAGCCAACCCCTTAAGATACAGAGATTGTTGGGATTGCGCCAGAACTCAGAGAATTAGAAAACTTCTGGCCCCAAACCAAAGACCAGGAAGGACTGGGTGCAAGGAACTTTCTCATTGGAGTTAGTTGCCTGCCGACCTGAGCTCTGTGGGGAGGTAGGTGCCGCCACCAAAGGCACTCTCCGAGTAGCCCACTGAGCTAGGATGCTGAGGCACAGGAAACCTGGGCTCGCAGGCTGCAAAAGGCAGACATGAGTACCCAGCAGAAATGACCAAATCGTAGAAAAGACTCAGCTTCCTCCTTGTGGTTTAGGTCATTTACAATAGGGGTGGAAGAAGAGAAATACTGAATGATAGCTCCTCCTCTGTGAGGGGTGCGGTTTGTGGGGGGAGGGGCTGAAGCTGGTAAACTCCTCCCCCTCACCCGCCCCCACTCCACCACCCCTGCCCGCACACAACTGTGAAGTTGTGTTAAGCACACAGATGTGTTTTAAGTAAGTTTGGGGCTGGGTGTGGCACATGCCTTTGAATAGCACAGAGGCAGGCAGATCCCTGAGTTCCAGAGTTTCAGGACGGCTGGGACTAAACAGAGAGGCCAATCTCCAAAAACTGAAAAGAAAAGAGAAAGAGAAAGAAGGAAGTTTGGAGTCACTCCAATAGAAGTGTTTAAACAAGGCAAAACTTTGCTCTTGATCAAGAAGGTATGTTCACAAGAGGAAACACACAGTGACAGGAAATAACACTTGGTTTTTATTCTAATTCAGGAGGTGACTGTGTCTTTTTCTCCATTGGCTGGGGGTCTGAGATCAGTCTTAATTAGATTGGCTAGTCTGAAAAGGACTGGTGCACAGAAAAGGATGGGGGGTAAGGGACTGTTACTGCTCCAGGTCATCAACTCCTGGAATGCAGCTGGGGCTTTTGTGTAAACAAAAGTTTAACTAGGTGGGCAAATTAAAACATTTTGCAAGAAAGTCTTACAGGGTAGGGAGGATGAAAAGATTTTAATTCTTTTTATAGTATTTGATAGAAAAGATTCATATTTAATATTTCTTACAGATGGACAAGCAGATCTCTGGATCAGGGTCCACAAACTGATCAGAATATGCATGCAGGAGTCTAATATGTGGCGTGAAGCTGCATCCAGACTCGGCTTACTCATTAGGAGCTAGTTATCACCCTGAAGCAGGAATGACAGAACAGGACTGGCCTCTACCAATATCTTACAGCAGGTAGTTCAAAGATGTTTAACAGACAAAATCACAACAACCTAAAAGAACCTCAGGCTGAATATGTTCACAGTTTGTAATCTTGTTTTTGGGGGGGGGGTGGTTTCAAAACAGACTTTCTCTTGAAACAGTCCTGGATGTTCTGGAACTCACTCTGCAGACCAGGCTGGCCTTGAGCTCACAGAGATCCACCTGCCTCTGCCTCGCCTCCCAAGTGCTGATATTAAAGGTGTGAGCCACCACTGATGGGCCAGTTAGTAATCTTATCTTTGAAGTGAGACAAGTGTAATCACTCACTCCTACCTGAGCAGACATGTTGAAGCTGGTTCCTCCCAGTCAATGGCTTGAAAGGCCACCAAGGTCACAATGAAATTAGTTTCCTTTTCAGAGAGCCAATTGTTAAACATCTATCAGCACACCATTGATAAATTCATCACACAAAACTGAAACAATTTTGTATAGGAGAAAGATCTTCACTATCAATAAAACAAAAGCCAAACAGAAAAAGAAAAATTGTAACTATTATCACAGGTAACAGTCTAGTTTCTTTAATAGAGTATATATTTTAAACTATAAATATTATAAATTCAGAAGGAACTCACAGCCTATGAGGAAAAATATAGGCAGAGTATATGAACCAATATTTGCTATACAAACAAAACAGGAAATAGAAATTGTTCCAAATAGCCAGGCGTTGGTCGTTCACGATTTAATTCCAGCACTAGGGAAGCAGAGGCAGGCAGATCTCTGTGAGTTGGAGACCAGCCTGGTCTACAGAGTGGGTTCCAAGACATGCTCCAAAACAACACAGAGAAACCCTGTCTCGAAAAACAAAAAAAGAAAAAAAAAAAGAAAAGAAAGAAAGAAATTGTTCCAAATATAGAGGAAATGTTCACCTTCATGTAAGGAAGACACAGACCAGAACCTCCTGAGTGAGTCTCCATTCTGGATCAGCAAGACCACACTAAGCCCAGGGTCACCTGGATTCCAGAAGGAAAACAACTAGGTAGGCACATCTAGAATCACAGGGCACCATATACCAAGGAATAGCAACAGAGACAAGATAGTCGTGGATGGGCTTACTCATGACAGCCTTTCTGTCAATCACCACAGTTCCAGGTCCCCAGACACAGCACTGCAGTGGACTGACTCATCATCCCGAAAAGTAGTCCCACCTCTCATGCAGGGAATACCGGGCAGTCATTGAAAAGGGTTCTCTCAAGTTCTGGACACTTTACTAAAGCAGAAAATGTATTCGGCAATGCATTTTTTTTTACTATAAAAATAAACACACACACACACACACAGTAGGCTGTAGCCAGTGTGGGACTTACTATTCTCTCAGCCTATGTGCCTTTGCTTTGAGGGACTGAATACTGTACGCCTCTAGGATAACTTGGTCAGGTACCACATTACACACCAGGAACCTAGTTCTCTTGCCTCTCCAAGGTGTACTAGAGGCACTAAGATCCACGGGCCTCCTCGGCTCTTCTTCCGGAGTGTCTCACAGGTACCTAGCCCAAACTCCTTTTATTTCTCTAGCAGCCTTCCCAACACAGCAAAGGTTAGCCATTGTCTCAGGGACGTAATCTGAACAGATAGGTCCCTGGATACCTCATTTCATCCATACCCAACAAAACTGCTGGTACAGATCACTGATCTTACTCATCCCAACTGTAATTCCTCCGTGGCCTCCCTATTTCTCATTTCTGTGATGATCACAGCTCAGAAATAAGCGCTGATTTCAGGGTAAGGTCCTCAGAAGCCACTGACTGCCTGAGTGTTTCTTAAACAGAGCAGCAGAGTGTACATCACTAAAGGCAGACAAACAGATGTCACAAGTCCTGTGATAAGGGATTGGGAAGATACAACCCCCTGTTTCATGACAAAGATTGAGATCACTTCATCACAATGAGCCCCATACAGACTCCTAAGAGATGTTCAGTGACTGCCTGTTCACTTCAGAGAAGTCCTCAGGCGTTAGACCAGACTGAAGAGGCCAAGAAGGCCCAAGAACTGGTATGACTGAAATCTAGAATTGGACTAAGAAAAAACATGCATATACAAAATTATTAGATCATTAATACAATTTTAGTACAAGTTATAAATATGCATATGCATGCTAATAGTATGTCTTAATTACTTCCCTATTGCTATTTTTGCTGTGATAAAACACCATGACCAAGGCAACTTATAAGAGTTTAATTTAGCTTACGGCCTCAGAGGGTTAGAGTCCATGATGGTGGAGTGAAGAAACAGCTGAGTGATCTTATCTTGATCACAATCACAAGGCAGAGAGGGCACTGGGAATCTTTTGAAACCTCAAAGCCCATCATCCAGTGACATATTCCTCCAATAAAGCTACATCTCCTAAACAGTCCTACCAAGTGAAGACCACTGAGAAAAATTAAAAGTTAAGTCACGATGGTGATCTGAGATAGAATGGTTCATAGGCTCATGAATTTGAGTAGGAGGAACCATTTGGAAAGGATTAGGAAGTGTGGCCTCATTGGAGGTGCGTCACTGGGGTTTGGGCTTTGATGTTTCAAATGCCTGTGCCATTCCCCATTAGCTCTCCCTACAACCTACTTGTGGATGAAGATGTAAGCTCTCAGCTACTGCTCCAGCACCATGACTGCCTGGCTGCTGCCATATTCTCCACCATGATATCAGGTCATGGACTCTAACCCTCTACAATCCTGAGAACTAAATTAAATGTTTTCTTTTATAAGTTGCCTTGGATATGGTGTTTTGTCACAGCAATAGAAAGGTAACTAAAGCAGCAGCAGCCACCGACTTAGAAAAAATATAGTAAAAATATTCATGCCTGATGTACTACAGATTTCTCCTCCCACACCCTTTTTTTTTCCTCCAGTGCTGGGGGTGAAGTAGAAACTTGTACATACTAGACAAGAACTCTACCAAGGGGCTATATTTCCAACCCACAATGTTTTTAAATCTTCAAACTCCAAAGTATAAGTGCAGTTTTGGTTGGTTGGTAGATTGGTAGGTTGGTTGGTTGGTTGGTTGGTTGGTTGGTTGGTTGGTTGGTTGGTTGGTTGGTTGGTTTGAGAGAGCATCTCACTGTGTAGCACTGGCTTGGAACATAACAGAGAACCACCTGCTTCTGCCTCCCAAGTACTAGATTAAAGGAGTGTACCACCATGCCGGCAAAAGTAAAAAAGAAAAAATGCTGTGAAAAAATATTGTTAAAAGAATGAGAAGACAAACCATAATCTGGGAGAGATACTTGAAAAAAAATCTGGGGGCTGGAGAGATGACTCAGAGGTTAAGAGCACTGGCTGCTCTTCCAGAGGTCCTGAGTTCAATTCCCAGCA